GTTTGAAGAAAGGTTCCGTCTTGCGTGGGCAGAATGTTGCCAGCTTGACCGGACCTAGACAGGAGAACGATTATAAGCCCAGGAAGAGGGATAACCGTTAGTTCAATTCAACATCTAGAGTCCGTGCACCGTGGGTAAAGTTGCTACGGTTCATATTGCCAAAAAAATAACAAAATAACATGGAAATGATCAAGAAATAGAAAACAACAACAGCAGCCATACATCAGCCATTTGAAATGATGCTTCGCTGCCACACAACCATGAGGACCTATGAAATAAAGAATAAGAGGGAGAAGGGGGACTTACCTGAAATCCTTAACGCCCTAAGCAAACATTCAGGGTCAAGGTGCCGACACCTTGTGTTAACAACATACCGTTATAAACAGCTGGCTATCGTGCAAAGACTAGGCGGCATCGGCGAGACAGCTTCCTTGCGGCTTTCACTGCCACGCGTCATAATCAGCCATTACCCCGCAGATAACTCAGCACCAAACACACTTTAAACAGGCAACCCGACTAGAAGAAGGCAGCAGACGCGCCACTAGCGTCGGTTGAGAACCATGTTTTGTAAAGTCTCAAGCCAAGCACAAGGCGAGTCAACTGGACTCCAGCCCGGAAGGTGAGAAGGAGTAACGACACCCAGTTTGGTCATCAGTGACTTCATTTCCTGTCGCCAAGTCAACTTCTGTCCACCACTAGCCTTGCGCAACCCTACACCTGGCAGACTAAACAAGGCCCGCCTAGGAAAGCGGTGACCAGGCATGCGTAGCACGTGCCCGAGCCAACGCAACTTATTCAGTGCTATCTGTTGTTCTAGGGAGCTAGCATAATTATCATTACATAGTACTCGCCTACGCACATCATCGTTGCGGACATGCTGGTGCCATTCGACCCCAGCAATGCTTCGCAAACAACGATGATCGAAGAAATGAAGGCGCATCAGCTCTTCAGACCGAAGGGGCCAAGTCTCACTACCATACAGCAGAACGGCCCTCACTTTGTCCTTGTATACCCGGCCTTTCAGACGAAGGAGAACTCCCTTCTGTCGCCAAAGATGCCGCAGGTTCAAGAAGGTAGCTCTGGCTTTTGCAATGCGTGAGCTGACGTCAGTTTCTATGCGCCATCATTGCTGACGCAGCTGCCAAGATAAGTGAAATGATCAACCACCTCGAGTTCCTCGTTAGCAAGCGTCAAGTGGTCATCAAGTGGCTGGTGGTCCTGCAGCAACACTTTGCTCTTTGAAGGTGCGAAGTGCATACAAAATAATGGGACCATTCTGGACAGGCTATTCAGGGTTGATTGTACTGCCGCAACTTCGTCGAAAAGCAAGACGATATCGTCCGCATAATCTAGATCAACTAACCTCTCACCAGGCAGGACCTCAACGCCTACATCGTGAGATTCCGCAAGGGAACACTCCATGATAGAATCCACGACGAAATTGAACAAAAACGGGGAAATCGGACAACTCTGACGAACGCCACTTGTGGTCGGAAAGCTATGTGACATGTCACCGTAGACCCTAACGCGGCCTGTAGTGTTCGAGTATAGAGCACGCAAAATGTTCACATATTTCGTGGGAACACCTTCCGCGCAAGTATTTCGAACAGAATCGATCGATCGACTGAATCGAACGCACTTTTGAAATCGAGGAACACAGCTATTGTCGGTCTGCGGTATGCGTAGTGCTGCTCTAGCACCTGCCGCAGAGTGAATATATGGTCTATACAGCCAAGTCCTGGGCGGAAACTTGCATGTTTTTCGCTCATCCGAGAATCCCTTTCCACAATGAGGAGACGAACAAATCGAGGCCAGTAATTTTGTCACAACTGGCATTAGGCTAATATCCCTGTAGTTAGAACAGTCTGTGCGACTGCCCTTCTTGTACACTGTCACTACAATCGACTCGTTCCAATCAGCCAGGACACTCTCTTAATTCCAGATACGTGCGAATAGGGAGATCAGTGCATTGCAAAGAAACTCACCTCTATCCTTATATAGTGCAGGTGGGAGGGAATCCGGGCTAGCGGCACGAAAATGACTGAGGGCTGTGATCGCGTTTCAGACCTCGGCCTCCGACGGAGGCTCTAAGCTAACCGTTCATGGCTCGTCATGCATCACCTGAGTAGGAAGAGGTCCGGGAGCACAAGGCCGGCTGAACTGAACTTGAAAGCGTTCCGCCCAACGAGTCATGCGGCACTCATTATTGTGTATCAGTGCACCTGCGCTGTCTCTGATTGTCTCACTGACACCTGATTTCGTGGGACCAGTGGTGCGGATCAGCTGCAAGAGCTTGCGGTGATTGTCCTGCTCCTGCCTCTTCCATTTCTTTGTTTCCGACTGGTCCACCAGGCTTCCTTGTCAGCACGCAGGCTCCGCTATAGTCCGCTCTTAATAGCCCATCTGGTCACATTGTGTTCAGAACCAGTCGAGAGGTTTCTTCTAGATTTCAACAGGTTCACCGATCTCTCGGATATCCAGTGACTAGTGCGGTGACAACTGATAGCGCCACAAGCAGATGATCCTGAGTCGTGCATGGCGGCTTAGACCCTATCCCACGGAAACTTAATGTCATTAGGACAAGGGAGCAAAAGTTCGGTACGCAGTGCGTCTTGACAAGCTTGCATGACCGAGGGCTGAGACGATTTCTCAGTTGCCAATCGTAGGGGACGCTTGGTGCGCCTCCTGGTAAAGTTCATGGAGAAACGACAGCGTACTAAGGCATGATCAGAGTCGACGCAGGTACTCCAGTACGAGCGGCAATCCAGGATGGAACCACGCCATCTGTAACTTATGGCTATGTGATCAATTTGGGTCCATCGCTGGTCAGCTACAGGAGGACGCCAAGTGGCACTTCGGCGCCCACTGTATTTAAAAGCAGTGCTACTACCACTGGTGCTCCGCACACAGTTGCAGCAGATGCTCGCCGTTGTCAGTCTGTTAAGCCCATAATTACCACTCAGCCGAGCTTCTGAAAAGCTCATTCGCCCTACTTGTACGCTCATATTTGAACTAGTAGTACTGCGTAGTAGCGCATTCAGTTCATGATAGGATGTGCACTTGACAGCATTTGAACTGCAGTCAGTGGGAGCATAAGCATAAATCACAAACAAACAGCGTTTTGTAGCACTTGGTGAATAAACCTGCGCTGATGTCATCCAACGGGCTGCATATAAAACGCTATTCACCGGAATCCAATCAACCAACGACGGCTCAGCCTTGGAGCTTAGAATGATACCTACACCAGCATAACACGTGAGTGCTGCATCGACGTCTCGGAATGCGTGCGACCAATAAAGAGAGGATAAACCAGGTGAAGTTAATTCAACAACCCCATTAGGATTATTGACCCTAGTTTCGGATACACAACACACATCAATACCCAGTGTGTCCAAGGTGCGTGCGAGTGCAGCCTGTCGACCTATGGTCCTAGAGTGCGAACGTTAAACATCGACGTGGAAACTGGACAGCGTGGCCTTATAAGGGACTTTTGTCGATAGGCGTCCGATAGGTGCTGTGTGAAGGTAACTGCAGGTGGTTATACTCCAGTGGCATTTCGGTTGCTGTCAATTAAGCTGGGAAGTATAGGAGGAAGGTTAGTAATGGGGGTCGGGATGGGAGTAAGAGAAAAAGGTGGAAAAGAAAGAAGGGGGCGCCAGCAGTAGCATGTTTTCGCTTATCCGCCCTGCTGTATGCAGCAGATAAGGTGACACTTGATAATCTGCGCGACGACCGATGCAGGATGAAGTTTAAGTTTGAAGAAAAAGTCATGGTTGTATGTGGGATGAGATAATGCCGGGGCGCCCGTACCGAGAAAGGAGAACGATTAGGGTCCTCATCCAAAGTCTTTGGCTCAAAAAGCCGTTCGCAAGGCAGCGGGGAGGTGGCAATGATTTGGTCTTACAGAAATAGACGCTATCCCATTTCAAGCCCCCAGCCAGAGAGAGCAGGAGACGGAGTTTATCTGACCTTTCACCATTGACCAACCTGGTAGGACTAGCTCTCAAGGGGCTCGGAGGCACCATCCAGTATACCTCAATGAGTCAAGGAGATACGCAAAACGTCGCAACACGTTAAGGTCCAGTCTCGTTGAGACGGGAAATAGAACAGATGTGGTAATGATGAGCGAACAGAGACAAGAAAGAGAACGAATGCAAGAACGTCACTGAGATGATGGATTTCGATATCCCTATCTGGTAAACAGAAAAAGACCAAACCGATTCAGCTTTTCGGTCAGTTTACTCACATTTTTCTGTCCTATCCGCCGTACACCTCGGGGTCACACTAGACTGGGCGCATTATCGTCGGACAACAGGCACTGCGGTACCTAATTTGCGGTTATGAGGAGCATAAGGCCTAACCACCGAAGCCGATCAGAATTCAAAGGGCACTCTCATGGGATAGGATGGCCCGTTTCCAAACATCAGATGACGAATTTCAGTGTTACACATTCAATCATCCCACAAAACATGAGTAACACTTTGCAGGTCTCGATGATCAAACAAGAACAGCATCCAAATTCCCGCAAAGACGGCTGGGGCGCCTGATATATTCGCTTCTCCAATTGTCAAGGGGAAGGACTGGCGGGTACCGACGCAGAAAACTACATAGGTAGACACAATGTGCATAGCGTATCTATGGTATCCGAGCACTGTTACGACCTCGAGGAACTGCGAGACAAATTCGCCCTTTCAGCCCTCCAAACCACAACTAAAACCACGGGATAGCTAGTTAGAATAAAGTGCAAAAAAGCAAAGATAACAAAAGCTTCCCATTTGTATTAAAAAGAGCAGACCGGTGCTGAGAAGAACGAGCGTCGAGTGCAAATCAGTAATACGAGGATCAAGAACGATGAATATGCACCAGATCGATTAGTTCATTGTGTGCCACAACGCGTATGGCACTCAGATGAATACATAAGTTGCGACCAGTAAAATGCATACTGCTAAAACATCTCTTTCAGCAAAAAAAACAGCGTTTACAGTGAACCAGTCTCTCACTTTCATTGAGTATGCGAATAAAGTCGGTCCGATTGACGTTAAAATGACGCTGAACATTGTAGCCCAGTACCTTGAATAAACGTTCAACGCGATCCGCATCCACATCAGTTCCATCACGGCGTCCTTGTCCAGTGGATGGACTGAAGTCCCTTTGGTTTATCAACAGGCAATAACCTCGAAAAATTCGTTTCGCGGGATTACTCGAACGGATGGGATAGTAGAGGTTTGGATCACAAACTTCCTCAGCCGATACCTTTATAAAACTGGTATCAACAGGAGGTCGGAGCGCAGGACTGGAGGAGTAAAATAGGATAAATAAGAGTGTGTTGTGAGTAAAACGCGAGGCGGAGCTCCTGTACAGCATACGTAGCATCCATCAAAAGTAGGTGATACAACGCACGTCCTTTGTTTCTAGCCGACTACAACCATAACGTTCCACGAACATGCTTCCAATTACTGATTGGCTTTCACAGTAGATGCAAAAACATCCGATAACGAAGCGGTTCTAAGCCATTATGTGCTAATTTTACGAAGAAATCGTGTGCTCTGAAGTATATAAATCTCATAACATTCCAGAACATATTCCGAAACAAGGAAAAGTAAAGGAAACTCAACTGCCAATACAGGCAAACCAAGCTAGTATCACAAAAACATACTGTAACGTGTTTGGGATCGATCCAGACTATGCATGTGCGAACCTAAGCTAAACCGCGAGATAGCTGCGTAAGATTCATTGATCCTGGTTTCGGACACGCAATGTCGATACACAAGATGTGCAACGCGCGTGCGAGTGCAGCCTATTGACTTATGTCTTCGAGTGGGAACGCTGAACAAAGCTATGGAAACGGTACAGCGTGGCCTTATAAGGGGCTGTTGCCGACAGTCGTCCAGTGGGTGGTACAGGAAGATAGCTGAGGATGGTATCGCGGTTGCTACCAAGTAAAGCAAGAAGAATTAAGAGATCAGCTGGTACGCCGTACTTGCGCTTTGTTGCTACGCAACCATCACTAGTCACGCACTAGCTAGGGACATTGCGACGGTCGCCCAGTTTCCTACGCAGGCTCGAACCGATTACATCCAGATTGCAAGGCAGACGCCTTGTTCTTTCGGATGGGAATTTTAGAAGGAACGTTGGTAAAGGGAGTCGGCATGGAATTAAGAGAAAGAGATGTAGAAAAGAAGCGCTTATCCGCCCTGCTATATGTAGCAGACAAGGCGACGTTTGATAAGCCGCGCGACAGCCGATGCAGGATGTGAATTAATTTTGATGAAATGGTATGATTATATGTGGTCTGAGATACTGCTAGGGCGCCCCAATCTAGACAGGAGAACGATTATTGTCCTCAACCAAAGGCTTTGGCTCAAAATGATGTCCGCAAAGCAGCGAGGCGGCAGCGATTCAGTTTTGTAGAAACTGACCCCATCCCATTTCCAACCACCAACTTGGAGGACCAGGCGACAGTCTGTCTGACTTTTAACCATTGAGCAACCTGACTGGAGTAACTTTTGGAGGGTCCGGGACCACCGCCCAAGATAGCTCAGTGAGTCGGAGGTACCCAAACCATCGCATCACGCTCTAAGGTCCAGCCATATCGTGATGACGCTAGACAATATACTAATCTGAAATACTCTCAAAATCATTAGTTAACCCATTGTATTCCAACAAAACACTACAACACCCTTAAGTGAGGCGCATGAGAAGTGATTACATTCTGGAATTCTTGTTTTAGCCGCATCAAAAGTGATTCGTTTGAGAAGTGCATTGGCGTATATATCTATAGGAAGTGCTATAACTGAATACAGATATAGATACAGAATCCAACCTAATCCCCCTCACGTTTAAGAAAGCAGATCAAAGGTAACCAAAAGTGGTCAGCAATGATGTTACAGTAGAAAACTTACGGCGGTCTCAACCGATTGTCGATAGTATCATCTGCCATCTACAAGAGGAAGAAATCGCACGTTATCGGTAGGTCAAAATACGAGGAAAAAATGTGCGTTCTATAAAAACAAAAGTCGAACAAGACATGTCCAGCTCTGACTACGCATTCACAAAGGCCTCCAGCATCATCCATCGGCAGGCATTTATTGATCTCAGGTAACCGGATCGAGGTCAGCAGGTCGTTCAAAGTTCTGCTGCGGCATACCAATTCCCGTATCCTCCGCTTCGCTGGGGCTGTCGCGATGAACCGGAACTTTGCGTTTAAAAGTAACTATCAGTCAACTTCAGGTTGCCTTGGACATAAAGATGTGATTCTCGCTTTTTCCTTTCGCTTGTTTGCATCACGAGTTATATTTCACTCCCAGTTATCGTTTTCGGCACTGAAGAGACGATACGAAATGCATGCATCTGATGATCTTCATTTCCTCACTGTGATTTTCAAAACTGGAACAGTCTACATGTTGAAATATGCTTGGAACCGATAGATAATTCATGAATTGAAAACAACCGATCGGTACAGTTCGAAGACAAGATTTCGCTTCTGACACAAATGTTCCATCAGATCAAATGAACCAGTGGGTGAGTGACGTTGCACTTATGGCAAGGTGGGAGAATAATCGCAACGACCGAGAGGTAAGTGGGAGGGAAATCATGTTGCAGGACAAACTGTCATTTCAAGTGGCACAATAGGGATGGTAAGATCCCAAGTGGTTCTCTGTGCGATGTCAACACACGTAATTCCAAGCTAGTGGAAAGCCAGTTGCAGTAGGTTCTAGACTTACATTCGTGGCGCACCATGGAGCGGGTTGAGATTCCTTATAAAGAGGGAACTTCGGAGACCATCTGGAGGGCAGTAATAAAAGGAAAAATATAGATTATTGCCCAGAGGGGGACGACGCTCCGTTAGACAGTGGTGCGTTTGAAGAACACATTTCCAGTAGAAAGGAAGAATAAGTGCTTTTACAAATTTAACTATAAGGGCTGTGAACACATGTACATAGGCCAAACCGATAGAGAACTACGCACGAGGTTAGCAGAACACAAGAGGCGCATGTCCCGGCTACCGAGGAACGAGCTTGAATACTGAACTCAACTAAGATACTCGGCGGCGAGGATGCATGCGTTAGACACAAGGCACGAAATCAACTTGGATACTATCGAGATCATTAGGAGGGGGTTGAGATCAGTACCCCAAAGGCTGACTGCTGAGACGTTGGAAATTGTTAAAGCTGACAGCTACGTAGACAGAATGGATGGAAAGGAGTGATCGAATTTGTAGCAAGTTATCTTAACCCGGCAAGTCTGAGGAGCGTCAGGAAACAAATCTGGGGCGGAGAGGAATACCAAACCACCCTTATCCCATTACTAGCGCGAAGTTACTAGTGATGATATGGTACAGTGAAACACTTGAGACCTTGCCATCTTCGTTGTGCCATTTGAAATGACAGTTTGATCTGTAACTAGATCTCCCTCCTATTTACATCACGGTAGTTACGTTTATCGTCTAACATTGCCATTAAAGCTACGCCAATCACCCGCTGGTTCATGGACTGACGAAACTTTTTGTGAAAAGCGAAACGTTTCCCTCCATAAGTTGAACACTTCAGTGAGAGATGGATGCATTTTTTATAAAGTGGTTTTTCAGACCACAGGGCGTGCACGCTGAAGGAGAAATGGAAACTTAAAGTCAGCAGATGATGTGTAAAGTGAAATGCACATAACGTACGGGCGGAAATGTGTCGATCGAAAAGCCATAGTACAGTAAATTCAATATATTCCCATTTGGCTCACCAGTAAACATATTAAATAGAATGGTTGCAAATGAACGCAGTAAAGCGCTGCCAACCACACTCTGGAAAAAACTAGGTAACCGCGTCATCCTATTGGGATGCCCCAGCAGAATGCAACAGTTAGGCCGGTATCCGATGCGTCTAGTTAATAGGCACAATAAAGCGTTCTTCATTATCTGCCGACAAAAGAATTACTGAAAGAACAGAGACGATATGTTTGACCAAACCACGGAACACATCGATGATCCCATCGCACAGCAGCGAGGTCAATGAATAGCCCAGGGCAAGAGAACGGATCGATGTTCTGTAAATCAGTGGGCAACAGTTGGTCTTCATGTTAAGAAAAAGCATACGCGGTATCTTGAGGGGTAACAAAGGATTGCTTCTATCTGATCCACTTCAGCCCGAAAAATTAAGTAAGATCGACAAGACTACCATAAAATATTACTATGGCTGAAAAATCTGTTGCTAGGATGAGTCTTGGAAGGTTTTATTCAGCAAAACAAAATGGATGTATGTATGTATGTAATCTCAACAGTCTAGCAACTAGACATAGAGCCAACAAAAGCAATGAGATCAGTGGATAAGAAACAGACATTGCGTCATAATCGTCGTGGCATGGTAGTTGAAGGTGGGCAACACACTTCAGCTAATATGCTGGAAGAAGAATGGAACATTTTGACTAAAAATAGAACATAATATTTTTAGTTTTTTTGTCACACGCCGATTTTTCTTTCTTTGTCATTTTCAATGTTGGTAGTATTAAACATATGAATCAATACAATACTGTACACAATTCTTCCACTGATTCCGGTTGCGGGCCATGCCTTCAAGAGTCCTAAGCCATTGGCACTCCTCATCTTTGGGTCCCCATCCTGAAAGACGTACGGATCCAACAGCGGCTAGACACGACGTCAGCGATTTCATGTGCTGCCGCCAAGTGGAAGGCTGACCACCACGCGGTCGCTTCCAGCCAGGTCCTTGACGAGCGAATAGAGCGCGACGCGGTAGACGCTTAGGTACCATGCGTAAAAAATGACCGAGCCAACTTAACTGGCGCAACAAAACCAGTTTGTTAAAGGAAATACTTTCATTCCCCAAGATGCGATGTCGAACATCATTACTATTAACTCGATGTTGCCACCAAACACGAGCGATCCTCCTTAAGCAACCGGCATCGAAGACAGAAAGACGACGCATGACTTCCACGCGAATCGGCCAGCACTCGCACCCATACAACAATACTGAACGAACTGATGCGCTGTAAATGCGGCCCTTTAGTGAGAATGAGACGTCTCGACGACGCCACAAGTGCCTCAGATTGATCGAGCTGATCGAGCATTAGCGATATGAAGAGAAACTTCTTTGTTGATAGTGCCGTCAGCAGAAACACAGCTCCCAAGGTAGACGAAACTATCTACCTGTTCAAGTTGTGCACCTTCGAGAGTGAGCACGGGAGCAGGTGAAAGCCAATCCTTGAGCAGTACTTTACACTTCGATGGGGCGAAGCTGATGCCATACTTAGATGCTTCAACCGCCAAACGATCCAGAATGACATTTCAATAAAGCAAGAAGAAACAACATTATAACAGAATTTACTGAATTCAGTAATTTCGCGTATTCTCAACTGTTTACATACAATGAGTGGAAAACAGTGCGATGTTAACAGCGCATTGATGAATTAAACGCCAGGTTGAGATGTGTGGACCAAGTACCCAATTGCTTAAACATTGTATGCCGTGTAAAATTCTTCAACTTCCTTCGCACTTTGTTGCTAAAAACGCGTTCAAATACTAGAAAGCATCTAATGAGCTCCATGTCACGGGAATGTTTCAACGATCAGTTGCCGTTAGAACCTGAGAAGTATGTGTTAAATCTATCAACCACTCCGTTGAGTCGTCACCAACTTGAAGCCTTATCCCTTGGTTTCAATTTTTCAGTTCCACCAAACAGATGTGACAGAATAGGGATTGAAGCTCAGTTTGAGCATCTGTACGAACAACTGTCCAGTTTAACACCGGTCAGCGAGGACGCAAGCGGCTGGTTTAGAGCTAAAATGGTAGATTTGGCTAACCAATTCTGGGTCAGTGAAACTGAAAAGTGCAGAATCCTTACGAAGGATCATTGGGAATCCTTGAAGCAACTGCGGCGAAATGAAAATCTCGTAATACTGCGACCAGACAAGGGATCAGGAGTTGTGATTTTGGAAAAGCAACAGTACATTCAGAAAGTCCAATCAATTCTTGCGGATTCTAGTCGTTTTGTTCAGGATGTAACAAACCGAGACAAAACTGAGCAGATGGAGAAGTTAATAGTCCGTGAATTGAAGAAGCTAGTGAAGGCCGGATTGATGGATGCCAAAACTATGTCTCAGTTACGCCCCCGGGGATCGCGACTTCCCCACATGTATGGCTTACCGAAAACTCATAAGGAGGGTGTCCCAATACGTCCAATCGTCTCAATGGTAGATACACCATACCAAAAATTAGCGCGATGGCTAGCAAAACTTATTGAGCCCATCCGGAGGGAACTGACGAGCTACAGTCTAAGAGACACTTTTGAATTTGTCAACAAGATAAGTAATTTGAATGTAAAGGGAAAACACATGGTTTCTTTCGATGTATCATCATTGTTCACGAACGTACCTTTGGAAGAAACACTAGATATAATAGCCAGACACGCTGATAAAGTTGGGTTCCCAGCGCTCCAGCTAAAATCATTACTGCGCCTATGCACAAAAGATATTCAGTTCCGGTTCAATGGAACCCTGTATCGACAAATCGACGGCGTGGCCATGGGCAGCCCATTGGGCCCAGTTTTGGCTGATATCTTCCTCGGAAACTTGGAAAACACTGTGTTAGCTTCTTACCTACAAAATGTACACCTTTATTGCCGGTATGTAGACGACACATTCATCGTCGTTGACACACCTGAACAGGCGGCGCACTTACTGAAACTGATGAATATGTGCCATCCAGCCATCAAGTTCACAATGGAAAACGAGTCCGACGGATCTTTCCACTTCCTAGATGTTAACTTACAGAGAAAGCCAGATGGTACACTCGTTCGATCTGTGTACAGAAAAGCAACATGGACGGGGCAATACTTGAACTTTAATAGCTTTTGCCCAATGAACTATAAACGAGCTCTAGTACGTACCACTTTTGCTAGAGCTCGCCAAATTTGCTCATTAGACACAATCGAACATGAACTAGAACGAGTCACCTTGACGCCACAAGAGAATGGGTATCCAGCGCGATTTATAACTCGACACGCAGAAGTACGATCAGGAGATAAACCACCAACCGATGTCCCAAAGAAAAAAGTATTCATTACACTGCCCTTCAAAGGAGATCAAGTTGACCGAAGATGCAGGCATCGTCTCCGTCAATCGATTAAGAAGTGTTTCCATGCGGCTGAGCTAGTGGTATTGCATCAAGTCAGAAGGCTGCTCTGTAAATCCAACCTGGACAGACCAGACTCTCAAGTTACCGCCTCTTGCATTTACCTCTTTAATTGTACTTGCGGTAGCAAGTACGTAGGCCGAACTGAGAGAAGGCTGTCAGCGAGGATTGCAGAGCATGTTCCGCGAAACATGATTGCTAAGGGTCCGAAGCTACCAACTAGCTCTATTGCCCGCCACGTACTAGAATGCCCTGAATGCCAGAACCCACGTGGCAATTTCAGGGTAGTTAGTAAACAGGCTAATCCCCGTTTACTACAGTTTGCGGAGGCGGCAGCAATTCGGCGGCTGAAGCCAAAGCTATGCAAGCAAACGGATTTCGTGACCACGCTAGCCCTACCCTGGTGAGGCTAGCGATTGCGTTTTCCTCGGAACAGGTCACGTGAGCCTAAAGACCTTCGACCGCTTTGAATTTTTGCTGTTAACATCGCACTGTTTTCCACTCATTGTATGTAAACAGCTGAGGAGAATACGCGAAATTACTGAATTCAGTAAATTCTGTTATAATGTTGTTTCTTATTGCTTTATTGAAATTCGTGAAGGGAAATG